GCAGCAGCAGCAGCAGCAGCAGCAGCAGCAGTTGCTGCAGCAGCAGCAGCAGCCCTTTCGCCCCTTCAGCGTCGAGGATGGGGCTGTTATGTCTATATGTCATGGGCCCCTAGAGAAGGTTGCTCTGGAGGAGATACGGTGGAACTACTACCAGCAGCACCAACTGGAGGGGGCCTCTTCGGCAGCAGCAGCAGCAGCAACCTTGCTGCAGCAAACACCGGGGGCGGGCTCTTCGGCAAGCCAGCAGCAGCAGGTACCTTTGGTGCAGCAAGTACTGGGGGGGGCCTCTTCGGGGCCTCTCAGAGCAGCAGCAGCGGCGGGGGCCTCCTAGGCAGCAGCAGCAACACTGCTGCTGCTGGGGGCGGTCTCTTTGGTCAGCAGCAGCAGCAGCAGCAGCAGCAGCAGCAGCAAGGTGGAGGCCTCTTTGGGGGCTTTGGTGCTGCAGCCACAGGCACAACGAATACAGGACTTGGTGGTGCAGGCGGGGGCTTGTTCGGCAGCAGCAGCAACACGCAGCAGCAGCAGCAGCAGCAGCAAACGGGGGGAGGTATTCTTGGTGGAGGTCTGTTTGGGGCGAAGCCAGCAGCAGGAGCAGCAGGAACAGGAGCTGCTGCTGGCACGGGTGGTTCTCTGGGTTTGTTCGGCAGCAGCAGCAACAGCAGCAGCAGCAGCAGCGGGATAGGGGGGTCAGGGGGGGGCCTCTTCGGCTCCCTGCGTCCAGCAGGTGCAGCAGGAGGGGGGGCCCTGGGTACTGCTGCAGCAGGAGGCAGCATCTTCGGTGGTGCTGCTGCTGCTGCTGACACAAGCAATGCTGCTGCTGCTGGTTCTTCTCTCTTTGGGGCCCTCAGCAAGCCTGCAGGTGCTGCAGCAGGAGGGGGCCTCTTTGGGGGCCTCGGCTCCAGCAGCAGCACGGGGGGGGGCCTCTTCGGCAGCAGCAGCAGCAGCAACACACAGCAGCAGCAGCAGCAACCAGGGGGACTCTTCGGCCTCGGTGGTTTGGGGGGAACAAACCCGCAGCAGCAGCAGCAACAGCAGCAGCAGCAGCTGCTGCTTTCGCTAGCAGGCAGCTCGGGGGCCTCCACAAGCGGCAGCTTGCTGGCCTTGGGGGGCCTCCTGGGGGCCCCCCAAGTAACAGTACAAATAACTTTATCTGCATCAGGGGGGGGGGGCCCCCAGCTGTCTCACCAGCCTGTCAGCAGCATAGGAGACAGCTGCTGCTGGAGGGGGCCCCCCCTGCCTCTCCCCCAGCTAGGGAGGAGACGCAAGAAGTACGGTGCTGCTGCTGCGGGGGCCCTCCCTCTGCCGCTGACAGCAGCAGCAGCAGCATCAGGGCTTAACGCCTCCTTTGCATTGCCGCAGCAGCTGCTGCTGCAGCAGCAGCAGGTGCTGCCGGTGCTCAACACAACATCTACAGACAGCAGCAGCATCAGCAGCAGCAGCAGCAGACGGAACTGCTGGCTCGCACAAACCATCCATAGATCTCTTGCTGCAGCACAGCAGCAGCAGCAGCAGCAGCGGCAGCAGCTGCTGCCCCTCTCTGGCCGTGACTATGAGCTGCTGCAGCGGATCCAGTTTGTCGATGATGAGCCAGAAGCAGCAGCAGCAGCAGCAGCAGCAGCAGCAAAGGAAGAAGAACAGACGCCTCGTCAGCAGCAGCAACAGACGGAGGGCAAGAAGCTCGCTGAGCAGCAGCAGCAGCAAAAGGACTCGGAGCAGCAGCAGCAGCAACTACAGCTGCAGCTGCAGCAGGGTCAGAAGCAGCGGGAAGGAGGGGAGATCCT